TCTGGACCTAAATGTCAATAAAACCAAGGAGCTTTGTCTGGGAGGTGGATGGGAAGCAGCCAGCCCAGAACTGTTTTCAGACCTTCTGTTATAAAAGGACAGGAAGTAGAGCAGGTGAATGAATTTAAATACCTCGGAACAATAATAGACAACAAGTTGACCTTTCAGCCCGACACTGACTGGATTCAGCGCAAGCAGACACCCTGCAGCCGATGTACAGGCCACTGGTTGAACGTGTTTCCTTGAATATTGTCTCATGGTTTGAGAACCTCCTAGCCGGAGACCATTTGTCCCAGGTGCTCAAACTTGGTAGTCAAGTAAGATTAAACAGGTTTATAATGACCCAGCTCATCTGCGACCATTGGTCAGGTCGGTACCGTCTGGCAGAAGACCGATGGTTCCACTAACAAAGACAAATGGTACAAAGAGTCGGTGGTTCCGTCCTAACAGGCTCCTGTTTAAACGCAGCCCCACGTCACAAACTGTCCTCTGAGACGTTCTTCGATTTTAATGTCTCGTGCATTCATTGGTTTTCTGTGATAGCTCCAGTCGTGCTTTTTAAAGGTTTTACTGCATTTTTAATTTGTTTTGTGTTGAATGTTTGAGCCTGATGTCAAAAACAAGTCTCCATTTCATGAAATGTTACGGACAATAAAGTTAGATTGAACTGAGTTTATGATATAATTTATAAAATATCCCCTGGAGAATATAACAAAGGTATAAAAAGGCAAAATCACGCTTTCAGAGTCACGCTTTGGGAGTTTTATCACTGTTCTGACCAGTGAACATTCACATTACGAGGGGTGTTGTGTTGGGAAACTCCTGAACGCTGCAGGCTTCAGCCGGCTCCACGCTTTTATTTTGACACGTCAAATGTACATGTGAGGTCACACAATCGTACCAAAACTCACACATATGTTTTTTTACAGAAATGCTTCAGGTAAAAGTTGTGAAGTTGACGTGACCTCTGACCTCTGACCTCCACTAACCTGACACAGAAACATGATCATTTTCCGTCTCTCCACCGAAATGAAAACATCCTGATAACAATTACTATTATTAACCCTCGCTAATTATTTTCCGTGCAGCTGTTGACGACACCCCCCCCCCCCCCCCAACGAGGCCTTGTTAAAAACATCACGTCATTTCCCCCTAATGAATTCTCCGGCGCTCTCGGAGCCGCTGCCCTTTAAGGAGAACCGCCGTGCTCTTTTCCAAAACATCCTGCGTGCCGCCACAGCTGCTGCAGGGCCGCAGCTCCGCATTCTGGTCTCAGTGGGACGAGCAGGGGGACTCCAGGGGGGCGGGGGGGTCATGAATTAAATGTGACTAAGCTGATGGCGTCCTGGGAGGGGTTCACAGTAACGCTGCCATCCGGCCTCCAGGGAGAGGAGCAGCACCAGCACAGCTGTCCGTCTTAACGGGAAGACTCGGCGGCGTCCGTTAAACGAAACCTTGAAGGTTCCTCGGGTCAGAACCGGTCCACCTGAGCCCTGGAGGCCAGTTTAAAAACCTGTTCTGCTCCCAGACCCAGTTCTAAAAACGTTCAAGCTCTTCTGACCCGAACGAGCTGACGCTGAGTTGGAGCTACCCTCAGCCGAAAACTTTATTTAAAAAGTTCTTCCAAACAGCAGAGGAGCAAACACGCAGCTCACGCCACAGAAGTACGTTAAAACACGAGTAAATTAAAGACGAGTGATAAAAACCATAAATCTGACGGAGCCGAAGGAGCAGAAACAAAATCATCTCCCCCGAGTCGAGTTTCAGGCTCCTCACCAGGATCTCAGTGGACCTCAAGCCCTGGTCTTCTTTGTGTTGACACTTTGAGCTACTTTTCTGCTCATTTTAGCTTTTAGCTTCTCTTCTGTTCATATTACTGTTCATATTAGGCTTTAGCTACTTTTCTGCTCATTTTAGCTTTTTTCCTCGTGTTCATGTAGTTTTAACTTTTAGCTACTCTTCTGCTCATATTACTTTTTAGCTACTGCTTTGATGATTTTAAATTTCAATTAGTGTTTTTCTGGTTTAGGATATTTAGCTTCCATTTGGCTAATTTTAGCTGTTATCTACTGTTTTGTTTTAACTTTTAGCTACTGTTCTGATTTTTGCTTACTTTACAGCTACACTTGCGCTTGTTTTAGCATTTAGCTGTTGTTTTGACGGTTATAATGTTTGCTATTTTTCTGTTAATTTTAGCTTTTTGTATACCTGTTCTGCTCATTTTAGCTACTGTTCAGCTGGTTTAGTTTTTTTTTGCTTCTATTCTGCTTTTAGATACTGTTTTGATGGTTTTAGCTTTTGGTAACAGTTTAGATTTTTTTTAAACTTTACTTCCACTCTTGTGCTTGATTTAGCTTTTAGCTGCTGTTCTGCTTGTTTTAACTCTGAGTTTCTGTTCTGCTCAGTTTAGTTTGTCTTGTGCTCATTTTAGCTCATGTTCTGATTGTTTTAGCTGTTACACATTTTCAGCTTCTTCAGCAAACATCAGCAAAGTCAGCATTCACTGATTTTGTAGCAGAAAATACAATTTTAGCCTTTTTTTCTGGATTACTTTTGTTTTTCAGCGTTTTTATTTATTGATTCTTTTTTTTTTTTAGCTGATTTAATGTTTTTAAAAAATAAAATCGGCTGAAAGAGCTAAAGAAATGGATTCTTACTATGACTTTATTTTTGTTAAACTCTGCCGAGTTGTGTAACTTTATAACAAATATAAACTGAAATGTGAATGTTGTGTGTTTTTAGCTATCTTTAAATAGAAGCCGAAGCGTGGTGGCTGCAGAACCTGTCCAGACTCGTCCCCAGCTCTTATTTTCCTCCGACGTCCTCGGGAGATGCAGACAAACACTTTGTTGCTCCTCTGAGAGAAACGTTCAGCTTTGATTCAGTGTAACGTCTAACAGCCGAACCTTTATGAGCGTTGCATCAGGTGAAGCCGAGAGGCGCCGAGAGGCGCCGAGAGGCGCCGAGAGGCGCCGAAAGGCCCCGTGTTGCGCAGAGTTGCATCAGCCGAAGGCCGATGAAGGGCTTCTGTCTTCATGGAACACAGAACTGGCAGAAATGTTTGTTTTCCTGACCCGCCCGTCGCCTTCGGCCTCTTCTCAGACTGACTGAGGAAGACTCTGCTGCCTTCATCATTCCGTTCTTTGGCTGTTTCATGTTTTACCAACAAAAGACTTAGAGTTAATTTAACTGTTCTTGTATCAAAACATTCGGCTACATTTTACTTTTACTTTTGTAATTTATATAAATGTTTACTTTTTATTTCTAAAAAGAACTCGTAGAAATACGTAAAAATTTCTTCGGCTCCTTTAAGAGCGTTCTCAGCTTCAGCCACTGGCTCTGTTTCGTCTTGTCATGCTACTTTTAGCTTCTGTTTGGCTAAATTTAGCTTTATGCAGTGGATTTGCTTCTTTTAGGCTTTAGCTACATTTTTACAAATTTAAGCTTTCATGTTTTTTTGCTACTTTTCATTTTTTAGCTACAGTTTTGCTAATTTCAGTTGGGGGCTACAGCTATGCTAAATTTAGCTTTTGGCTATAGTTTTGCTATTTTTAGCTTGTAGTCACAGTCTTTCCTCACTATTAGCTACAGCTTAGCGTTCTTAGCTGTCAACATCACCTTAGTAATGTTAGCGTTTAGCTGTAGCTTGTAAGCTGCTGCTTATTTGAGCATTTATGTAGCATTTAGCTATACGGCAGTGCAGAGTGACTGATCTTGGAGCATGGAGGGAGACATTTCATCCCCCATCAGGTGCAGTGGTGGAGCCAGGGGGTGGCCATTGCTGGCTCTGGCCCCATAGATTAATCTTCAGCCACCCCGATCCTTTCAGGAAACTCTACTTTTAAATAATATTAAACTAGAAAGACTCAAATGATCCGGGCGGTCTGTTTACATGTGGTGGTGGCCATCTTGGATTTTGATTTGGCAACCAGTTTTTAACTTTGGACATTTTTTACTCCTAAATGGAGCCGTGAAGCAAAATGGAAGGTGGCTCTTCTTCACTTGTTTTTCAAGTCGCTGCTCACCACGTGCGCACCACGTGCGCACCACGTGCCCAAAGCGATGGACAGATCCAGCTCCCGCTCATCGCTCTGTAGCGAGGACAAAAACCTGAATTTGACTTTATTGTTACACAACAACTACACAACTACACAACAACTACACAACAACTACACAACTACACAACAACTACACAACTACACAACTACACAACAACTACACAACAACTACACAAATACACAACGACTACACAACGACTACACAACTACACAACGACTACACAACGACTACACAACAACTACACAACGACTACACAACTACACAACAACTACACAACAGCTACACAACAACTACACAACAACTACACAACGACTACACAACAACTACACAACAGTGTTTGCTGAGGCGAGGTGGCGTCAGAGCGTGGAGCTGGAGCTGACCCGGTCCAGTAAAACAGGTTTATGTGTCAGTGTGGATTATTGAGATTATTTTCCAAAGGTCCAAACCTCCGGCTCTCATACGGGCTGACAGGAACCTGTAGAACCAGAACAGGGCCGACCTTCAGAACCAGAACCAGACCGTGGATCGTGGGCAGGAGGTGTGTTCCCTCCTTCAGTGACCTGTTGGTTCTCCTCTTCTGATCTGGTTTCAGAGGTTCTGGTTCTGGTTCTGGCTCGTTGACCCGTCAGGAAACATTAATTTTTCTTCTCGTCCCGACACACTGTGGAGGCGAGGTTCTGTGTGTTTTGGGCCGGGTGGAACCAGAGCTGGTTCTGTTGGGTTTCTGAGAACAGAACTTTGTTTCAGGCTTTTGATGTTTGGGAGGAAAGAGTCAGAGTTTTGGACCGGTTCTGTGACCTGAACCTTGTTTTGGGGTCAGAACCTGACCTCTCTGTGTGTTCCGGGTCAGAACCTGACCTCTCTGTGTGTTCCGGGTCAGAACCTGACCTCTCTGTGTGTTCCGGGTCAGAACCTGACCTCTGCGTGCTCGTGTGTTCCAGGTGGCGGCTCAGGCCGTGCTCTTCTTGTGCATCAACACGGCGGGGATCTTCATCAGCTACCTGTCGGACCGGGCCCAGCGGCAGGCCTTCCTGGAGACGCGGCGCTGCATCGAGGCCCGGCTGCGGCTCGAGACGGAGAACCAGAGACAGGTGAGCCCCGCCGAGTCCCTCAGACTCAACACGTCACCAAACTGACAGCCTCACCTGACCCAGGTGGAGAGGTGCTGGTTCTGAACGGGTCAGCTCCTGTAAGTTACATCTGAACGGTTCTGGTTCTTATGACCCGCCCATCGAAGGCGGACGTGTCGCGGTGTAGAATCCATAAACTTTAGGGAACTTCTGATCCCACAAGATAATCGAACAAAACTTTTACCTCCATTAGACGATGTGTTGCGTAATCCCCCAAAGCCCCGCCCCCTCAAAGCCCCGCCCCCCCAGCTCCAGGGTTTACGTTCCTGTGACGTCCTACAGATAGAATGAAAACATGTTAATATTTAAAACATGGTAAAATTCACTTGATTTTGTCACATAATCAGTATATTTTCTATTGAACATGAAAGTGAAACAGGAAGTGACATCACAGGGAACTTCCTGCTCGTTGTTTCCTGAAACATTATTTTTGAACTTTGACTCTTCTTCTCTCTAAATAATCTACTGAAACTTCAGATTCTTCTCCACCGTCTGTCAGCCGTTGTAGCGACGTTCTGCTTACATGCAGGTGCTCCCCTCTGACATCACTTCCTGTTCCTGTGCGTGCAGACGTCTCATTGGCTGTTCATCTCATCGCTCATATTAATTACACAGACGTGATGAGGGTCCGGTGATAACGAGGAGTTGATCCGTTTGTTGACGAGCGTTCAACGTGCCGTCCTCTCGTCACTTCCTGTCATAACCTCGACGGACCACGACAGCTCAGCAGTTCCTGCCGTGTGTCTCAGACCTCATGTTTACTGTAGTTTACTGTCTGTTTGACATTTCACTAGGAGGATTGGGTCAACTGGCTCAATACTGCAGGCTGTGATTGGCTTTCAGCTACTGAGACTGTTTGCGTTTGGTTCCTGCAGACTGTGAGTCGGTCTGTTTGCTTGTCGGAGTGCACGGCTGCTCAATGAGCGTGCACGTAGGTTCGAGCACGTCTCTGTCCCTCGAGCATCAACCTCCACTCTACTTCCTGTCGCACGGCGTCGCAACTCATCGTGAGCCGACAGCAGCCGATGGGCGTTAGTTAACAGGCCGAATGTCTGCGGCCGGTTAGAGTCCTCGATCTGGAGCACGCACGCACGCACGCACGCACGCACAGAGCTGTGTTTACGCTGCATTGGCTCCGAGGACTCACAGAAAGCTTTTACCTCGCTCTTCTTCCCTGGAAGGTTCTGGTTCTGGTTCTGATGAGTTCTGAAATGCTGCTGTGATGGAGAGAGGCGGGGCGCCGCCCCGAGCAGGACGCCTCGGCGTCGACCAATCAGAGAGGAGAATTTCTGTCGCCACGCTTCAGCCTCGTCCTCCATGTTTCTGGCCGACGGAAACAGCTTGAAGAAATAACACATTTGAACGGATCCGTGGGACTCCTTCACGTAAAAATAAAAACTCGTCGGATCTTTCACAACGTTGTTGGATTTTATTCGACCCGTCATCGTTTCCTCTGGTTTATTTAAACGAAGCAGCAGAAGAAGAAAAGCTGAACACATCACGTGGCCGAAGCTTGTAGCTGAAACTTCAGTTCACTCCGAGGCTCGTCTGCAGCTGCAGAGCCGATCCTGTTTCTGTAATCTCACTGATTTAAATCAACTGTGGTGCCGATTTTAATCCCTGAAGTTTCAGATAATCTCCAGCATAAGACGGCTTTTTTATTTGTTTATTTATTTATTTGTTGCAGCACGAGTCTCTGCTGTTTATTAAAGTGGATTTTAGATTTTGAAGCTCAGATCTAACTTTAGCTTTCTGCAGTCATCGTCTTCTGCAGAGCTGGAGTGGATTAGAAACAGATTATCTGAGCAAAAATAGCTGCAACTACACAAATATCACTTCCTGTGAAAATACAGCATGAACATTTCCTGCTGAACGATTTCTTCTGCACACAGCAGAAGCAGCTGAATGCAGCTGAAGCAGATGAAGCATCCTCAGCTGATATTTCTGAAGCTTCATGAGCAGCCGGCCCGACACGAGAGGAACGTCAGCCGGAGTCTCCTTCACAATAAAAGCAGCTCCAGTTGTCAGGGAGCTGCTGGAGGCCTTCAGCTCGCAGCTAAAATCAAGCTGCGCTAATGATCATTAAAGCTAATGTGACACGCAGCCCGCCGGCGCTCAGCGGGCCCGACTGGACCCGATGTCCAGCGGAGCAGAAACTCTGCAGCTTCTCGGCTGACTCACTCCTGCAGCAGCCGAAGGTCCAGGAAACGATCTTTGCACAGGCCAAAAGCAGCCGTAGCTGCTGCTTATCAAAGGTTCAGCTGTCATAGTGTTGAGGCAGTCGGTCCGGACAGTCGTTCCTGTTTCACTCAGTAAACGTGTTAAAACGATGACCCCAGGGCTCGCAGGTCTTCTGTAAACTGGATGGAAGTAGCTGAGAGTCATCCCCAACGCAGGCTGTGAGAGCTGACGGGCCGTTTAAAACTTCTGCACGCGGGCGACGTGGGATCAACTCCTCTTTAGTGTTTAAAACTTTATTTTAGGCCCTTAAAAGCATCAAATCCTCAGTTTTTCTTTAAGTATAACTTTTATTCACAGTCAAAGGCGGGACGTGATCATCAGCCCAGCTCCAAGGTCAAGGTCACAAGTCAAGGTCAAATGTTGTACGAGCTCGTTGCCGGGGCTACACATTGTTGTGTAACGGCAGAACGCTTGTCCAAATATTAAATCAGGTTCGATTTATGTTTTGGCTCGTCAGTGGCTGCGGGTGCTCGGTGGTCAGAGCAGCCTCAGGTAGTCCTGAGGTTGCAGGTTCAAGTCCAGCTTGTGTTAGTTGTATTTGCTCTAACGGCTCGGTGGAAGGCCCTGACCAAATCTTCTGAGGAAGCAGCAGCAGTTCGGTCGACCGGTGGCTCTGCGGCACAAACATCTACCGGGCACCGTGGCACTGTGGCACCGTGGCACTGTGGCACCGTGGCACCGTGGCACTGTGGCACCGTGGCACCGTGGCACCGTGGCACCGTGGCAC